GATCAGAAATAGTTTATTGACTCCTAGGCCAAGGCTCACCTAGTTAGACCCCAAAAAAAGAAAGGATTGTGATTAAAGCACAAGGATTTTTAATCACAAAGAACTGTGATTAAAGTTCTAGGCACACCACAGAGGACACTAAGCCCATTTATTGCACTTTTCAATGTCATATCTGGCTTCAGCCAGTCCAGAAAACAACAAGTTCTTTCTGTTGCAACATCCTTGAAATACAGAACAACTCATTCAGGTTGGATCAGAGCCAGGCAACTTTGTGCTGTGCATCACCTGAGTGTGTCTGTAGAACATTCCTGTTCTCAGCACGGGTCTGACAGTGACAGCATTTTTTGGCACAGGCTCCTGCTCCTTCCCACAGCTCACAGCCTTAGCTCTGGGCCCTGCAGATGAGGGATTTTGTTTTTAAACTCTCAAGTACATGCACAAGGCAGGAGAGAGTAAGAACTTATTTCAGGAAGGTGTTTGTGGCAGGAGGGTTAAAATTAGAGCGTTTGTTCCTAAAAAGACTGCGCAGAACGACAAGGACTTGGCGAGAGGCTCTCCAGTGGGGAATGTGACACAGGAAGCTCCTACACGGGCTTTGGCAGTGATGTCACCTGGCTGCCCGTGGCTGCTCCATGGCAGGTCCTGGGAAGCTCAGGGATGGAGCACTGGAACTTGTTCAAGCCACTCTGTATCTGCAGGCAGTGAGTGCCGAGCAGATCTGTCGACAGGAGCCACCACCAGCGCTCCCAGATAAGGGAATCTGCAGCCAGGATGGAGAACTGCTATTCTTGCACTATTTCTGAGGGCCTCTTCAGCAAATATCAGCCTCCTCTTCCTGTCATGCCTCCCTCCTCTTACTGCCCCAGGAACTGCTGCCTTTGGAGCTTTCTGCCTTCCACACATGGCCCAGCAGCAGTTGTGCTGCACAGGCACAAACGAACAAAATCATTAGGGAACAAATTGGTGGGCACTGGGCCTAAAAAAGCTCAGCCTGAAGGGCTGGGGTGTTTCCTTTCCTCTGTGGAGGTGCTTGCTTTGAAGCTAAGCTAAGGAGTACCAGCTCAAGCTCTCAGACCTGCACAAGCAGAGATCTGCTCTGGTTTAAAGCACAGTGGTTAGGGATGTGTGAAAAATAGCTCAGCAAAGCCACACAGTGTTACGGTGGGGAAGTTGGAAATGCAGACTCTCTCTTCCAGTAGAAACTTTCTGGTCATGAGGCAATTACTGAGTACCTGCAAAAGCTCTTATTCATTCTTGCCTCTGTGACTGTAAAGATGCAGAGACAACAGCCTTGTTTTGTGCCACACACACACACACATCACATTTTCGTAGGGGAGAAATACAAACAGTTGTTTGGATTGCAGGCCAGATCATCAAAGTGGCCATTTCCACTTCTCAAAGCAATACTTAAATCCTTGGTCAGTCCTTGGCATACAAATGTAATTGCATGCCCCTCATACAATTACAGCATAAAAGATCTAAAGCAGCTAAGTCTTGGTTTAAGTCATCCTGCTCTCAATACTTGCCACAAGGTGAAAGATGAACAGAGTGATAGGTGCTCTAGCAATTTAGAGAACAGAGTACCTACAAAACCAGCAGCAAGAGACCACAAGACTTACCTGGAAGTCAGGTCTGTTTGAACTTTAATGAAGGTTTCCTGTGCTATGGGGAAAATGAGTCCAAATGACCCAGCCCATTAACCCAAAGGTTCATCTTGGCTCTGACTTCAGTGATCAACTCATGGAACCTTGGACTGAAAAAAGCCCTCAGCTTGGTAACCCAGTCAGTGAGACCTCACAGATAGTTTAGCTTGTAAACCTCCCTGACTCACTTTCAAAAAAATATTTTAAATTGACTAATCTTCTTTTAAAGATTAAAAGTAGTTACATCTGTTAAAAGTAGTTGAAACTATTCAGTTTATGAACCAATATTTATAATTACATATTTTTTCAAAACACCATTAAATCTTCTAGAAAATATAACTTGCTGTTTTTCTCCTATTACTATCTTCCTTCCCTCCTACCCCCCAAAAATCCATAGATAGCCATTAATATATGTGTCTTTTCTCCCTGGTAGTTTTGCTGTTCTAGCTGTGTTTGGAAGTTGGTACCCAGAATTCATTTTAAGCCTCCTGAAGTTAAATAAAGATCAGGTTAAATAAATATTCAAGTCCATCTTCCCTTTACTCCTCACTTTGTATGAGCAGCTCTGCTTTATCTAGAGGATTTGCACCCTGATTCACCTCTGCCTCTCACAAACCATCTCTCTGCACTAAAATATCATCATGTGCTACAGTGTGAAAGATCTCCTTGTCCTATTAGACCTGTCAGGTGCATCTGACCTATCTAGGCTAAAGAATGTTCATTCTTCCCCTGGCCAATATTTTTGGCCTTCTTGGTCATTTCCTGTTCTGCTCTGGCCTGAGATATGATGTCACAGCTCACAATGGTCTTCACACTTCAACACTATGCAAAAAATGTGCTGTTATCCTCGGGGAGGTGACAGGGTAAAACAAATCCTCTTGGTCAAACATCACAGAAGTTATGTGAAGAATCTCCAGTGGGAAAGGAATACTAAAAACATTTTCTGCCTCTAAGGTTCCGTGGCCTCTCTCTGTGCAACCCGTACTGATGTGTTGGTTTTAACTAAACAGTTAAGGTATTTAAAGTGTAGGCAATTGTTCATAAAGCAGTTTTTTTCTAAGATGGGTTTTGAGTGCTCAAATAAAGGCCCTTTGGAGGGTTCTCCCATGTTTCAGAAAGCACTGAAGCACTATTTTCTATAGAAAGCAGATTGTGTAGCTGTATTCTTACCCCACCTTCCATTACTGTTATTCTTGCGTAGCTTTCCCATCCAACTTTAAAAGCAGAGCAGATAGAGCCCAGCCTTGGAGGACAGAATGAATGAATACACAGAATAAATTGGTCCCATGATCAGGAAGTTCAGAGAGACACAGACCAAACTCAGACTTGGACATTCTACTTTCTGCAGAGGGGTGCAGCAGTGTTACCTGGGGTGTTTAATTTTGGCTTTAGGGTGGTGTCTGGAGCCCCATTTTAAGAGGCCAGGGAGGAAAGTGAGTCCAACATTTCCTACAGCCTACAGGCACACACAGACACTGTCCAACCCTGCCATGTGCAGCTGCTGCTCAAGCCTGACTGCTCCACTGAGTAAAACAAACTGCAAAAATTCTACTTGCTGACTGGCACACATGAAGGTGACTGTGTTCACCAGGAGCTGTAAGCCAATGGTTTTATTTGTGCAATGAGCCAAAGCCTTCCCTGCAGTCAGAGAGGATGTCAAGGTGTGTGTCTCTGCCTGGGCCGCTGATCAAACAGCCACAGCCTGAGAAGAAAATCTTTTAGATAACTCACAATAAACTGCCTTGAGACCAAACAACAATGTGAGAACCCCAGGCTTGGTCTGGGGTCTCGTGTGGTGGAAAAGTCTCTCCTCCAACCCGTGCTTCCAAAGAAAGGCTCAGCAGTCTCTGTTGTTTGGTCTCAAGGCAGTTTATTGCAAGTTATCTCAAAGATTTTCTTCTGGGGCTGCTGTGGTTTGCTCACAGCTCAGGCAGAGGCACACACACACCCTGACATCCTCTCTGACTCCCGACTGCTTCTTCTCTCCCCACCAGGGCTGCTGCTGTCTTTTATATGATATATTATGTATTACATGTTTATAGTTTTCCCCAATACCTACTACCTATGTTCAAGGTGCTTTTCTACTCTAAACCAATCTGTGAGTGCCAACATCACCAAGAACATGGAGGCAAGGAAGAAGAAGGAGGAAGAACAGGATCAGCCCACTTTCCTCCATCTTAGAATATCTGACCCCCATGTACAAAGTAAAAACCCCCCTGTACAGGTGCTAAAACCCCCCTGTACAATACTAAAAAATTTTCCCCTCTACTTTGTAACTACTTTTACTATACTATCTAACCCTTTGTGACTGTTTGTTACACCTTCAAAGTTGGTAACTCATTCCATGGCTCAAATCCAAAATCACAGCTGTTTCCAGCTGCCTGCCAGGGTCTCAAATGCTTCTGACCTGGGCCCGGAACATCCAAAAATGTGTGAAAGACATTTTGAGTTCCAACAAACAAGAAGCTACAAAGTTTTTCTTTTGGAGCACAAGTTAGAAAAGAGACTTTACCACCACACAAGACCCCTGAACCGAGCCCAAAGTTCTCACAAATGTCACCACAAGGGCACAGGGAGCTGTGCAGCCCCTGGGCGCAGAGCACAGGGCCGGATCCCCCAGTGCTGAGCTTTGCAGCAAGTGACTGGTGGGAATGGCAGGACCACGGGCTGCCTGGTGTGACAGGGGAGGTGTGAATGTGCTGCTGACAGTGGACTTTATCTCAAGCATGAACACAGCCTGCAGCCCTGTAGTCTGAGCACCTTATCACAGCTTTAGGAGTGTTAGTTTTTGAAAGGCTGCTTGCCAATCACGCTGTGCTGAGAAGCAGCAGCTAAAATATCCTGCCCGTCCAGCCCACAGCCATGCCACCCTCCACCACAAAAGGCTTCAGCTATTTCCAGAAGCTTGGCAATCACACTGAGTATTTTCTGGGAAAACAAAGAAAGGTTGTCAAATCAAGAACAGTGGGTGATAAGAGCCACCACAGCCACACCGAGTTCCTGAGGGAGAGTGGTTTTTCTAAGCTCTGGATGAAGCTGCATCCTTCCCCCTGCAGCTCACCCACCCAAGGCAAGAAGAACCCCCTGTTCACATGCAGCTAAAGTTCATCCAGTGCAGAATTCCAGGATGGCCATCCTGGCACAACCAACTGCTTGCAGTTCTTGACATGAAGGATTTGCCTTCTAATCACAATAAGCAAGAAGGGGTACATGCAAGTATGCAGTTGTACCTGAACTGATGAGAAGCATTGATGAAAAGGACCATAAATGTTAGCAGGAAGAAGACGAATACATGCATGAATCCCAGGCAAAAATCAGGGTAGTTCACCTCCCTAGTCTCAAAACACAGGGACTGACCTACACCATTCTCTAGTCAGGCACAGTCCACACATCTGAGACATGTCAAAAGTAATGGACAATTGGGATCCTGCTCTGGGAATACCAAACTGAGGTTATGTACAGTGCCACTCTCACAGGCTGAAGAAAATCTGCTGAGGGTTTTGTGGAGGACAGGCTTTATGTAATGATTACATTTTTAGTTTGTTAGGTTATTTTTAGGCTCATCACCACTCTGTTAGGGGAGGGAGAAGGGAAGTAAACAACCACTGCAACTTCTAGGACAGGAGCCATTTCATTCCTGTAGCTGTTTGGCCATTTCTAGAAATGGCTTCACCTTCTGCAAGCTCCACACTGACAAATGGCATGCAGCAATAAATAGCACAATGGGATAGTGTGACCTCTTGCCCCTTGATTTGGCTGCTTGGCAAGAAAACCTTGGTCAATGGGCACTGGTGACACTGTTCCCAGCTATGCCAGGATGAGCTGAGCTGCAAAGAAATACCTGGCAAGTCTTATCCCAGACAAAATGCTTAAGAAATTTCCTCCCTACACCCATCTCTTCCTACACAAACTTAAATTCTGCAAAATCCATGACGAGAGTCCAGATCAACATATTAGTGTTGAACTCAACCATCCGTGTGACACTGAAACTTTTAATAAATTTAATGTTTAAATAAACAGCCATTCATACACCATATACATACCAAGGGCCTTCCCAAGACATGAGCACTTACACACACTTCCATGGCTAAACCTTGAAAAATAGACACTCAGAACCTTGTTGCAGTGTGTGTTTTTGATTAGGAAGTAATAATTTTATTGAAATCTCTCAGTGTCTGGTCTATTTTCTGTTTTTAGCAGAAGTTGCTCTCGAACTTGAGGCACGTTCTGCATTCACCAGGAGAGGTCACCACACTCCTCAATAACCAAACCAAGAGCCCAGATGGGATCTCACAGGAGGGACCTTCTAGCTGAGCTGGGTAAATGTGCCAGCTCAAGACAGCTGGGGATATTTAATGTCCATGCTACCTACAAAGGGTCCCTTTCTCTCTCCTGTGAGAAGTCAGGAAGTGCAGATTAATGCCACAACTTCCCTGTGAGCAGCTGCTCTCACTGCAATCCCAGCCTTTCTACAGTAAGGAAATGAGACAAATTAGACCTTGGTCCAAACACCAAAGATATCTCATAAAACACAGAGAAAAACTTGGATACGGAGCAATTTGGTAAAAGATCAGCCTATGAATTTCTGAGACCCACCACAAAGATCATGGGGAAGCAAGAATGGCTGCCACAGGACTGAAAAGACCCACATGGCTTAGAACCACAGCTAATCCATATTTTGGCTGGAGTGTGAATATCTATTTGTCTTTGTAGACATTCCCATCTTTCCAAAACAAGATGAACAGATGCTGTTCATTTTGCTAGAGATGAATCTTAGCCAGAAAAGGAGTTTCAAGTGAGGATTTGTGGACCATGAGTACTTCTTTAGGCCTCTGCCTCTCACCAGGCTCTTCTGCCATTGCTCTGAATTCATCACCTTGCTTCATGTTTATTTGAGGATCCATGTTAGTCTCTCCCCTTCATCACTACAGCTTCCCTGTTTGGCTTCATTAACATCAGAGAATGTGATAAATGTGCCTAACAAACCTAAAATTAAAATTTTGAGATCAAAACCCAATTCTCCAGAACCACCTACAACCTGCTACTAAATGCCAGCCTGCTGCCCTCCTTGTCCTCAGGTGGCCTTGGCCCCTTCTTTTGCCAAAGGGCTACAGAGGAAAATATCCCCTCTTCATCCATCAAAGAGATCAGTGAGCAGTAATCAGTGAGCACAGAACAGATCAAAGGCAAACACATCCTTGGGACCCCAGAGCAGAGTAGTGCCAGCACTGACTCTGTGCCTTTAGCATCCCACAGAAGGTGCTGCAGGACAGTGTGCAGTGACCATGGGGGATGACCAGCCCACGAGGAAAGCTCTTTCTGAGTTACCTGATAGTGAAGGCTTGGTTTATTCTTCATGGATGGGCTATCTCAGACACCAGGAGCTCCCAGTTCCTCCCAGTCCTACCATCCCTAAGGCAGGGAGCAAACTCTCCTTGGCATTGTGCTGGAGCAGGTGCAGCCAATGGAGGTGAGGGAGCTCAGGATGGAGAAGTGCTGCTGCTGCAGGTCCCCAGCTGTGGCAAGCACATTTCTCTCCCTCTCAGGATTTTTCATAGAGGTGCATAGAGAGAAATGAAAGAGAAAACTATTTCTATTTCTGCTTCTTGTTTTTCCCATGTGGAATGTGTTTGGAGAATTGTTTACCTGGGATGATTGCTTGATTAGATTCTGGTGAGGATTGTTTGAGCCTGATGGCCAATCCAACCCACCTGGGGCTGGACTCTGGAGAGAGGGCCACGAGTTGTGTTAGAGAAGATAGAGTCAAAGTAGTATGTACTTTGAGTATCCTCCTTTATATAGTATATTAATGTATTTTAGCATAGTTATAATAAAGAAATAATTCAGCCTTCTGAATTGAGTCAGACATGAGCATTTCATCCCATTGGGCTCACCTGCATTTACAATACCCAGTGTCACCTGTCACAGCTGGCTCTGCTGTCACCCATCAGCAAAGGTGAAGTGCCAGAAGAGCAAAGGGAGCTCCTGCAGCTGGCACTGATGGGCCAGGCCTGGGCTCGGGGTGACACTGTGCACTGAGCCCAGCTCCAGCCCTCAGCAGGGAGGGGACAGTAGGAAAATGCTTGGGGATTACATCTAAATGTTAATGTCTCAGTGAAGGCCCCTGGTGCCAGCTTCCCTCACAGATTCAGCATCTGGAAAACATTGTTTTGTAGAACGTTCCAAATCTCACTCCCTGATGCTATCACAGCCACTAGATGCTGCACAAAACCAAGAACCCCTGCATTTGTGCTTGTGAAACAGAACATGGATGATGTAAGACAGACTTTGCAAGGGAATAAATGTGACAGGGACCAGAGCCACCAGCAGTCAGCAATTACACAGGTCAGCAAAAATCTAGAGGTGCTTCCCTCTCCACCCAGGCAGAGCAGACACAGGACTGTTCAGTGCATCACTGGAGGGAAAACAGACCTGCCTCCTATTCCTCCAGGATTTGCAGGAGCATGGGGGATGGATCTCCTTTGGCTACATGCAATCCCAGCAAAAAACTGCTTCCACAGGCTTTGTGCAAGGAATACTTGGTCTCCTGGGTGAAATGTTTTGGAAAAGGTCTTTAAAATGTGTCTGTAGAGTGCTCCCCTTCAGCAGCTAGTGCCATAGCAGTCACTTTAAGCATTATTGAGGAATAACATCCATTAACACTTGCAGTTTTCATTGTTTCCATTGGAAGCACTGCAGAAACACCACTGCCCTTTCAGCCAGCCAGGGAATGTTGGCCTGAGCAGCTGGGAAGGAGAGGGATGCTAAAGGGGTCGCTGAGTTTGGGAGGAAGATGAGTTACTGCAGCAGTGCTCTGATGATGCCTCACCCAAGCCTAGTTGATCAACTATCAACTGAGCTATCAACTTCAGGGCTCAGCTTCCTCACAGGATGAGGCAGGTACATCCCCAGAGGAACAGTTTGCCCTAATCCTACTCTTTAATCAGTTTCTGATGATACAGGAGAAATATCTCAGGAAGCTGGTAAACAAATTTTTGTTGGATATGAGCAACACACATCAACCTGCTTCCTTCCACCCTATATGAAAGACTTGCCACACAAAGTAACATTTCAAAAAGGGACACAAAACCATTTCTTAACTCAAAAATATTTTCTGCTGTTCTCAGGGGTTCCTCCCTTCTTACAGACTGATGTTTGTGCTGAAGTCTCCATCTTAGCTGCACCACCTCAATGATAAATCTCTGTGAATATTCAGACACTGAGTTTGATGCTCATCTAAGCCCTGAGAAAATCTGGAATGTAGAGCAGAGACATTTGCTGGATGGCTTTCTGTTTCCAGCTACTTGCCACTGCACCAAATCTGAGCTGAAGCCAGCTGTGGGTTACCTGGACTGAAGCTGCTCCTGCTGTCTGGGTTATGCAGCACCCTCTGAAATACAATCACATGGAATGTCATTGTCTGGGGAGAGGGAACATCCTTTAGTTGTGCTTATTGACAGCATCCAGCTGCAATGCATTAGGATGAGAGGCAAGGACACAAATGGCAATGGGAAAAATTCTGAGTAGATGTTAGTAAATCGTTGTTTCTTGAAGGTTTTCAAAATTCACCTTGACAGGGCATTGAGAAATTTCATCTGACTCTGCTTTAGCACAAGATTGCACCACAGACTCCTAGAATTCCTGTCCAGCCTTAATCACTCTTTTACCAACATAGTCATAGATGAGGCTGTACTAGTGTATGAATGTCCAACAGCAACCAGAGAGACAATTCATAACACCAAAACAACTTCAGAGATCTCAAGGTCCAGAAGATTTATTATCCACTTTATTCAGACCTGTGACAAGCCAATCAAAGCAACAAAACTATCCTGGAGAAATGTGTACCTGAAACTGCCCTGACCTTTTCTTACTGAGTTGTTACACTGAGAAGTCCACACTTCAAACCTCTGGGATGATGATTTCATCTACTAATAAGATTCATACCAAATGTGGTTTTCACCATCATCAACAACAAAAAAACCCCAACAATACAATTACATGAGACTTCCTTTTCTGTCACAGAGGGATGTTTCTAAGCTGTCTCCTCACAACACCCATTTCTAGAGACACTTAAAATTATACCTCAAACTTATGTGCACATGAAAAGACATTGAAAACATTAAACTTGCTGGCACGTCAAGAATTATTTTTTTCCAAGCTTCCAGGACCAACAGTTGATACTGAAAACCGGTTTGTAAGCTTTCAGTAACTCAAATATCAGATGAAAAATGCCAGATGGTCCTTAATTTCCATTTCCTCTGTGTAGATCCAACTTGATGGCCTTTTACTCTGTGCATCACATGTGTGCAAAAATGCCATGAAAGGGCAAGAAGTATTATTGCATTTCAATTTTTCAGTGAAGCCAAATTTCAAGCCTGTTCTTCCTTTCAGACTG